ATAGTTTCTATAATGAAATGATACTCCCACCAGTGTTTTCCCAAAATGCCTCTTGGTCTTTGGGGTGGAGGAGTAGAGGAAGGAGGAAGATTTCAGTGCAAGGATTAAATTTACTGTGATTCCTTCTCCCCCCTTTCTTTCTTATGCTACCTGATAAATCTGTCATTTCCTTCACACTGTAAAGAGAGATCCATGGATTCAGACCATGACAAAAACGTCCAGATGTGAAATATCCTTGTAGGTAGCATTAATTTTTTTCATAAATGAAACAGAAAGCATATTATTAATGAAAATATGCAAAATTTATATTTTAAACTTTAAATATTAAATGCTATTTTAAAATGCTAAGAAATCATTAGATTTAAAATTAAATACTAAATGAATAACAAGTTTAAATAATGAAGACTTAATCTTAAATCAATGTGGGAAGGAGTGCTTCTGGAAACCTTAAAAAAATTTTTTTTTATTCAGAAAGAGTAATACTTCAAATTCACTGTGAAAACACAGGAATATGGAATTGAAATTTACTGTAATTTTTTTAAGTACTTGGATTCAAGGGAAGTACAGTGACTAAAGGCTGGACCAACAAATGGAATATATTCTCTCTTAATACTTGGATTCTTTTTTAAATGTTTCACAAATGTATAATTTCTGCAGACATCAGAACTGTCTAGTACAGTGTTCTGAGAGGGTACTACATGTACATAGAAAGAGAAGAGACTCTGGGGGAGAGCACTATTTAATCAATGTGGTTTCGACTCAGTTTTAGAAATATCACAACTTCAGAACCAATCTCTCTATCTTAAGACAATAAAATATTCAATATTATGGCAACAGAGAAAATCATGCAACTTGAAAATTAACATATTGGTAGTATGCAATAGAATCAGAAAGGAACCTGACACTATATAGCCTTTAAAAACCAACAAACACAATAAATATCTTTATCTCCAACTCAGAAGTGAACATTAAATTTTAGAGAAGGAATTCTTAAAAAATCTTCAAGCACTTGCTGCCAAACTCCACTTTCTGAAGCTATTAGAGCTGCTTAAATGAGAAGGAAATTGTTACCCTCTTATTACTCTCATAAGTAACTTGTAATCCTAACAGCAATGCTCTCAAATGTTCACTTTCACTCACTAGTCATGAGAAACTGGGGAAATCAGAGAAATTTCATTCCAGGGGATAAAAATATATACCAATGATTTGGGTAAATTCAAAAGGGGAAATTCAAAAAATGCAAGCATAATCTGGCAATTTAGACTTGACTTATGAATGGACTATAAAGTAATTATGAATTAGTATAAAAGCAGAGAAAAAAGATTTTAGAGGAAGACCTGTTCTCATCCACAGTAATGTGATTAATACCATGTTATTTACCATCATCATTAGATAAATCACAAGAGATACTGGAAAATATTTCAAGCTATTGAACAATAAAAATACATTTAAACAGACATTATACAATCTATGAATGGCCAATAAGCACTTGAAGAAGTGTTCAATATCATTAGTAATCAAGAAAATGCAAATTAAAACAAGATACTATTAAAACCTACCAGAACAGCTGCAATTAGAAAGACTGACAACAACAAATGTTGACAAGGATGTGGAACCACCAGAATTCTCATATATTGTTAGTGAGAGCATAAAATGGTACAGTCACTTGGGAAAAGGCCTGGCAGTTTCTTATGAAATAAAAGATAAACCTACCTTAAGTAACCAGCAATTCTCCTAGCTATTTGCCCAAGAAAAGGAAAACATTTCCACAAAAACTTGAACAAGAATGCTCACAGCATCTTTATTCATAATTGCCAAAATCTAGAACTAGACCAGTTGTCTAACAACAGAATGGATAAACAAATTGCAGTATAGTCACCATGGAATACTACTCAGCAACAAAAAGAAATTATCAATACATGCAACAACATGGATAAATCAAAAACCACTACACTGAATGAAAGAAGACCTCCATAAATGGGTATATAAGAAATTCTATAACTAATACTAATCTATGATGGGAAAAAAACACAGATCAATGCTGCCTCTGCAGAGGATGTGGATTTACTGATATGAGGCATGAGGGATGTTTCTGGGGCGGCAGTAATATTCCATATTATGAAATGGGCTTGGGTTGCACATGTGTGCATTTATGCCTTTCATTATACGTAAATTTTGCCTCAAAGGAAGAAAATGTAAACAAGCATTGAGCTCTAGCTAACGATTTGCACGGTGAACTACCTGATGCCTTCAGTTTACACTGATATGTATTAAAACATACAATGGATTGATAAATGGACAGTTTGGAATGAGATAAAGCAAATATTCTAATATGTTAATTGTGGTTGTGTATTCACTGCAAAATTCCTTAAAATTTCCTGTTTGTTTAAAATTTTTCCTGTAAAATCTAGACAGGAAAAGGTCATTATGAGTGACTTGTAAAACAGTCAAACAAAGGTTACACAATAAATATGTTTTCCTTCCATTTCTGACAGCATTCTTCCAGTTCTTCTCTTCAGAGGCCAGCACCATGACTAGTATCTCATGTGCCTTTCCAGAGACAGTCTTTGCATACAGATAGAGGGATGGAGACAGTTACCTCTGCATCATTCCTTTTTTTGATAGTTAATGTTTTTTAATTAATATTTCTTATCAATAAGAGAAAAGGAAATCTTAATAGAAAACAAAGGACATCAACAAATCATATACAAAATGAATGAACAAATGAATAAAATTGACATTTAATTTATGCTAGATATACTCTTTTTCTTGGCAGCAGCTTTACTGACATATAATTCATACACCACACAATTTACCCATTTAAAGTGTACAACTCAATGATTTTTTAGTATGTTTAAAGAGTTATACAATCATTACCACAAATCAATTTTAGAACATGTTCACCCATAAAAGAAACCCTGTACCCTGAGGCCATTACCTCCAGCCCCTGAGCTCCCCAACCCTAGGCAACCACTAATCTACTTCCTGTCTCTATCGACTTGCCTATTATGGACATTTGCTATAAATGGAATCATACAAATATGTGACCTTTTGTGACTGGTTTCTTTCACTTAGCATGTTTTCAAGGTTCATCCATGTTGCTGCATATATCGGTACTTCTTTTTATGGACAAATAATATTCCACTTTATGGACATATCACATTTTGTATATCCATTCATCAGCTGACAGACAGGTGCACTGCCTTCAGTTTTGGTTTATTATGCATTAATGGCGCTATAAATGTTCATATGCAAATTTGTGTGTGGATATACACTTTATATCCCTTAGGTATATACCTTGGAATTGCTGAATCAAAAGGTAACTATATGTTTAACTTTTTCAAGAACTGCTAGACTGTTTTCTAAAGCATCTTCACTATTTTACATTCCACGAGTGTGTATGAATGTTCTAATTCCTGTACATCCTCATCAACCTTTGTTATTATCTTGTTTATTACAGCTGCCTAGTGTGTGTGTGTGTGAGAAGTGGTACCTAATTATGGTACCATTTTGATTTTCATTTCCCTGATGTATAATGATATTGAGTATCTTTCCATGTATTTATTGTTCATTTGTACATCTTCTTTGAAGAAATGTCCATTTAGATCCTTTTCCCATGCTTTAATTAGGTTGACTTTTAATTACTGAGTTATAGAATTCTAGATACAAGTCCCTTGTCAGATACATAATTTGCAAATATTGTCTCCCATTCTGTGAGCTGTCTTTTCACTTTCTCAGTAGTGTCCTTTGGGGCACAAAAGCTTATAGTTTTGATTAAGCCCAATTTATCTTTTTCTCTTTGTTTGAACTTTTGGTGTCATATCTAGGATACTACTGCCTAGTCCAAGATCTGCTGTTGCCTAAAAATGTGCTTTCTACTAAAAGTTTTATAACTTTACATCTTACATTTAGGTCTATGATCCATTTTGAGTTAATTTACGTATATGGTGTGAGGTAATGGTCCAATTGCATTCTTTTGCGTGTAGATACCTAGTTGTCCCAGCAGCATTTGTTGAAAATCAATTGACCATAACTAAACGTGTCTATTTCTGGACTCCCAATTGTTTCATTTATGTATATGTCTATCCTTATGTCAGTACCACACTTTCTTAATTACTGCTGCTTTGTAGTAAGTTTTTATGCATTTTTTTCCCTTACATTTTCCCACTGAACATATTCTGGTAAACACCTCAGTCTTCATACACAATATATAGTATATATAATAATGAAGATCTTTTTAACATACACATTTACACACATGTGAAATGTTTTACACATATGAAAACACAGTATCTAGAGGTTGGTCAAAGGGCTGCAGATTTTAAATTTTGACAGACATTGATAATTTTCCCTTCAAAAAGTTTATATCAATTTACACCCCACCAATAATGTATGAGAAGGCCTATTTACTCTACATTGCCCACAATCAGTGAACTTCCAAACTTTTAAATACTTAATCAATACTATTTTTCTCATTTTAAGAAACTTTTCTGTTGTGATAAATCCCATTTGGCTAATAAATACATATCAAAATCCCACTCAATTACTAATAAAATGTTTCTACTGGCAACTCCATTTTTTGGAATTTACCTTAAATAAGTAGTTTACAGAGGGAAGAGAGATGTTCAAAGTAGTGCTATTTGTAATACAGAAAAAAATGACTGTGTACTAGACATGGATCAACACAAAAATGATTAATTAAAATATGGTACATTCATTAAAAATATATTCAACTATTAAAAACTATAAAAATGAAGTCTGTAGACACATAAACACACTTTATATTAATTTTTTGAAGTAGTATACAAAATCATACGTACACTCTGCACAATGATTATAACTACTTAAAAATTACACAGGCATACGGAAATAGGAATATATAAATGACTACAGGTAATTTTCTCCTTTAATTTCTAAACTTTCTGTAACTTTAAAGAATTAAGTTCATAATTAGGGAATATGTCCATAAATATATTACTTTACATTAAAAATATACTTACTGTGATGATGCCAATAAGTTGAGTATAAAAGAGTCCAGTTATTCCAACTAACATTGTAATGCCCATGAAGGCAGCAAGTCTCATTATGGCCAATTCATGTCTAACAACAAAGAGGTCCTATAAGAAGAAGAAAAAGAAAGTCTTAAAAACACTTCAAAAATTACTTACAGTTGCATTAATAACCAAGAATTGAGCCATAACATTTTTCCTTATTATCTTAGAAGAACTAATCTCTTCCCTTTGAGTTTACTCCACTCAATCAGTATATAAGTATTGGAAAATTTCAAAAATAATTGCTCTTAATTCATAGTAGAAAGCTGAAAAATAGGATTTTACTATCCAACTGTCAGAAAAACTCAGTCCTAAGGTTGCAAATTAGCCATGCTCATGTACTCTTTTGAGCAAAAACAAAAACAAAGGATATTTTATTATGGTACCACTAAAAAGCTTAAATGCACAAGCCTGATTCATAGTATTGAAGTTCAAGAGGCCAAGATGCCTAGAGATTATGTTGTTTAGTCAAAATGAGGGGGAAAACAAAGATAATAGGATGGACAGCTCTTTTCAAGCCCACTTCATCCATCCATCCACTCACCCAACTACCACTGCCAAACACTGTGCTATGTAGTAGAAATGTAAAAATTATCAAGACATGGTCTGTGTCCTCAAGAAGTATACAGTTCATTTAGAGAGAGAGACCAATTTTGCAGAACTCCCAAACAATGTGATACATGCTTTAACAGGGATGCGTGCCTAGAGGAGGACAGAAACATAAAGGCAGGCCTAGACAGGAGGAAGAAATGGAAATGCTGTGAGGGAAAACTGATTTTCTGGCCCAGGGCATAAAAACGAGGGTCTTCAGTGTGATCCAAAGAAACTGGGAGAAGGACAGGAAAACACGGAGAAACCACTTCACTTACCCTCACTGTTTCCAAGCAGACAGACCAAGGGAGAGACAGTGAAAGAACAAAGACCTGTGGAAACCTGTTTGCTGCTAAGCTTCAGGATAACATAGCCACAGTGGATAAAAAGCAATCAATGAATGGGAAGGATCCCAAAACATAACCATAACCACCCACATTTTTAAATACTGATTCAGGTTAAGGCTTAAAAGTATCCTGGTAGCAATACCAGAAACAGGGAGGTCACTGAACACAATGAGCTTGTTTAAAACGAAAGAACTGATGCTTTTCTGTGTAGCACAGTGATCACCAGACTCAAGCCAAAACTCTGATTCCACATCCAAACTACTCAATTTATTAGCCAGGGAAAACTTAAAATTCACCAAGACATTCAAGGTGTTATGTAATAGTCACATATTAGGCTGTCATTTCAAAACTTCAGTAAAAAGAGCCTAACGGAGAATCCTTACAAAACATGTAAAGATGAGGCTATGGATACATAAAAAATGAAATACAGTAAGTTATGCTATAATGCTTTTTGAAAACACAAATATGTTTCAACATGATTGATACATTAAGCAACAATTTCAGGATAACAAGAATTTTGTGTTTGCTTATGCTTGATTTTATCTAGATGAACAATAAAAACTTCACCCAGCTAAACCAAGCCATACAGGAATACACAAAACATACCCTCAAACATCTACCAGCGACCTCAATCTGTTACATGTGTTGTGAGCCACACTCATCCACATCTGGTGTACGATATCCCCTCCAATTCCACACGCCCCTCACTACATCACTTCATAATAACTCACGTAATGCAACCCTTCCCACGCCCACTTCCACAAGAAAACTTCCATGTTTCTTTTAAGGTGAAGTGCAATGTTCATTACAGTGTATTTCTTAACTAG